CTTTTAACTTCAATATTTAAAAACAAATCTTCCCGGGGGAGCATGCCCCCGGACCCCCCTAGAGGAGGTGAGGATCCCCTAGAGGATGTTTACATGCTTATTTATACAATATGTGTGCTTATGCTAACATCATAAGACAGGAGCACTAGAGTGAGGGGGGGCCCCAAGCCAAAGCTCGCTTAGGGCCCCCAAAAGTCTAGGGCCGGCCCTGGCCTAAAGGACAGGTAGACGACGTGTTTTTCGGATGGAAAATGAGCCAAACGCGAAAACGCAGCAGCATTTGGATGCACTTCAACCAAAACCCAGGCAGTGATAAAGCAGAGTGTTCTAATATTAAGAGTTGCGTGAATTTCATGCAAGGCAAGGCAAATGTATTTACTTAACACATACATAGGGTAAATTCAAAGTAGTACATTCACTGACATGAATGACATGGATATGGCGCCACCCTGTGTCATGTTTACAATGCAGATTATTGACATTAGGTCTGGCAATACAGTCAATCATTATCCTGGTGATTATTATAAACTTAGTAACCCCGCCCCCTTTAAAAAAACGGCTCTTTTGAACGGCTCTTTGAAAGGAACGGAGCCATAAGATCCGGATCTCTTCAAAGAGACATAATTCCCATCACTAGTTTGCGCTCCTTCATTTTTTGTTTTCGATTCTGACTAGGGATGTCCCGATCCGATCACGTGATCGGGGATCGGAGCCGATCACGTGATTTTCACGTTCAGCTGGTGACTCGGGAGTCGGGACAGAGAAAATGTCAGGAGTTTGGAAGTATTATAAAATTGAAAGCGAAGGCAGTGTAACAGCCAGATGCAATGTTTGCAAGGCGGAGGTTCCGCGTGGTGGAAAGAACAGAGCTACGTTCAACACGACCAATCTAATACAAACACCACCAACAACAACACGACGAGTACACAGCGGCCACTCAGGTAACGGCACTGAAACAACCGACACTTTCAGAGACTTTTAAAAGGAAAGAGAAACTACCCCAGAACAGTGAAAAGGCCAAAAAAATAACAGCCAAGATAGCTGAATTCATCGCGTTGGATGACCAGCCGTTATCTGTTACCTTTTTTTTCCTCTTAATGCATTGCATAAAGATCGGATCGGGAAAAATCGGTATCGGCAGATTGTCAAAATCAAATGATCGGAATCGGATCGGGAGCAAAAAAAGGTGATCGGGACATCCCTTCTGACACAAACATCCGAGGGGGGCGGGACTTTCAGGGGTGCGTCCCCATTGGCTACTCAGTTTTTGAGTGACAGCCCAGTCCACCGGCGATTGTACAGTGCAACTGCGGTAGCTGAGCATGGACAGAAGACCCCCAGAAGAACCAGCATCTCAATTATTATAATACTACAAGTGAAAATATATGTAAGTATTGATCATTTGTGTTGTTTGTGCTGTACTATACGGTCTGTTTCTTTATTGTGTTAAGTGAGAAGTAAAGAAGAGCTGTGCTATGAAAGTTAGCTTTTGCTAACTTGAGATCCATAACAATGCTAGCTAAGTAGCCTAACAGCAGGGTTAGCTACTTAGCTACCAGTGCGTGAGCGCTCAGACACCGGCACACACACACAAACAGACTCGTGTGCCTGACTCTACCAACATGCTTTCATGATTCTGTTTAGACATGCAAGTATAAGCCATGATAGCTTATTTTATTAACACGCTCAATTGATATGAAAATCAATGGAGGCTGAGTTTACTTCTTCTCTCTGTAGGAAAACCTACCGTCCATGATGCCCCTGAGCTGAGTTTTATTTGTCATACAAATGTTGAGCTTTGGCTTCTCTTCTATGCATTGCAAAATGCTATACGTGGGCTACTCGTTCTGAGTATCAGATTTGAGCTCTCTTCCTATTCATTTCCAATTCTATTTAAAAAAAAAAGTTGAATTAATGGCACAATTAAGTTGTTTTTTTCTATATGGAGACCTTTTGATAGTTCACTTCATATTTTTCATTTCCTAAAACAATTATGTTCCTCTCATATTAACAGTGTGGATCATTGAGACAGCGTGGTGTCCAGAGGTCTTCTCCCATTTCCCACTTCCTGTGAGGGGACAGCACGAAGGGGGGGGGGGGGGGGGGGGGGGGGGGGGGGGCATGAAGAAAGACCTGAACCATCTTCATCCACGCTGGGCGTTGCTGTTATCGCTTGCTCAGTGTCATTTCATTTGACCAAATGTCTTTACATATACATTTAATAGATTTTATTATTATCTACCTTTTTGTTTTATGTCCTTTTATTTAAAACATTCTTTGAGACTTCATCTTCTGGTTCAAATTTCAATAAATGTAATGTGTATAATCACTCTTTTGTCTTTATTCTACATGAAAATGTTAGAGATTCCATTCAAATCTGTTGATTATTCATATCTTCCTCAGGATAGGAATAGTATGTTGAGTTTTTAATGCTAAATGTATATCATTTTCTCACAGGATATAGAATGAGACAACACAGTTTTTATCCATTGTGTATGAATGCTTCAGCTCTTCAGACCAACATAGTAAGATGTGAGCATGTTCCTAATTGTGTTGGTATGCAACCTAGGTCTGGTCTGTTTAATAAAGCAAATCTGCCACTTTTATATTGTAGAATTTGTTTTATTATTATTAAAGCAGTCTTTAATTGTTTGTCCTAAACATAGCAATGTATGCTTTTGAAATGTAACATGTCTTTGAAAAAAGAACAGTATACAGTTTATATTGTGTATCACCTTTAGCATAAAATAAATAGATAGACGGACACTTTATCAATCCCAAATTGGGAAATTATTTTGTTACAGCAGCAGTGTGTTCAGGTATTAAAATATTTAAAGTTGGAATAAAGTATAAACTACACAACACAAGTATAATGCACAGCAATCCATAAGATAAGTCTGATATTTTCATGAAAACTCCCCAGGAGGCACCAACACAAACGTGGCCGAGTGGTCTCCGGAGTTTGCTGCATGAGTTGCACTGTATGATCTGTGGTGTAGTGGGCTGTCACTCAAAAACTGAGTAGCCAATGGGGACGCACCCCTGAAAGTCCCGCCCACCTGGGACGTTTGTGTCAGAATCGCAAACAAAAAATGAAGGAGTGCAAAGGAGAATAGCTGCAGCGAGAGCAAAAGTCTGATCATTGAGAAAGAAGCAAAGAGAACTGCAAACAAAAAGATATGTTAAAACAAAGAAAAAAAGACTTGTAGTTTACATGATTACACAAATGATTTGTTTGCAACTTATAGTTTTATTTTTTAAATTACATTTATTTAGCTTGACTCTGGTTTTTTCTCTTAAACTCTTAGTTTTGCTTGATTCTGAGGAAGTGTTGCTTTATCTTAATGACACGAAACTAATCCCATACCTTTCATAATATTGTTTGCCGAGACCAAAATTAATGACCAAGCAGCATTTTAAAGTCTAAATATCCCTGCACATGTAGCAATGACATTTCTGCTGCTATCTTTGCAAAACGGGGGGAGCCTCGCTGCGAGGAAACGGTGGACCTCTGTCGCCTGTCAGCGCAACTTCAATGATGTCGTTTCAAAACGTAAACAAGGAAGGGCGGTGCCTGCCGGCCGTTCTGTGATTCTGTTTGTCGTCACTTCACAAGTGATGCGCGTTGCTGCTCCAAAGTTAAACTACTTTCAACAAAGGACGTTCACAACAGTTGATTTGAGCACGCAAAAACGGTGCCGGAGCATCAGCACTACAGTCCTTTATCCCCCCATACTTTGAAGGCTGGTCCGTGAAAATATTGTCGGTCCAGGCAGGAAATGAAAAAGTGAAATACATTTGAAAAAGTCACACTTGACTCTACGTTGCTGATTTTTGATCAAGTCTGTAAAAAATGTTTTTTGTGACATATGCCTACAGTATAACAGAGTAATAATAATGTATTAAAAACCCAGCAGAGCCTGGTTTTAATCAACACTCACCCTGTTGCTCGTGCTCTGTCGAAGTGTAAAATGGAGTCTGGCTTCATCACTTCCACTTCCCTGTCTGCAGCTCCTCCCTCTGTTTATCAGCAGAGGTGAAGTACACAGATCTTGATTAAAAGGAGAAGTACTCAGATATTGTACTTGAGTAAAAGTAGAAGTACTCAGATCTTGTACTTGAGTAAAAGTAGACGTACTCAGATCTTGTACTTCAGTAAAAGGAGAAGTACTCAGATCTTGTTCTCGAGTAAAAGTAGAAGTACTCAGATCTTGTTCTTGAGTAAAAGTAGAAGTACTCAGATCTTGTTCTTGAGTAAAAGTAGAAGTACTCAGATCTTGTACTTGAGTAAAAGGAGAAGTACTCAGATATTTTACTTGAGTAAAAGTAGAAGTACTCAGATCTTGTACTTGAGTAAAAGTAGAAGTACTCAGATATTGTACTTGAGTAAAAGGAGAAGTACTCAGATATTGTTCTTGAGTAAAAGTAGAAGTACCAGAGTATAGGAATATTCTGTTACAGTAAAAGTCCTGCATTCAAAATGTTCCTCAAGTAAAAGTAGAAAAGTATTATCATCAAAATATAGTTAAAGTAGCGACAGTAAAAGTAATGATTGTGCAGATTGGTCCATTTCAGAATAATATATATGATATGTTTCATAATGATTGATCATTAAAGTGTTCTCAAAGCTGGTAAAGGTGCAGCTAGTTTGAATGACTTTGTATACTGCAGGGTAGCTTGTGAATTTACTCCAGGTGGAACTAAAGTCTGATTTAACACTTGATTATATTTCACATCATTCATCCACATCTGTAAAGTCACTAAAGGTATTAAATACATGTAGTGGAGTAAAAGTACACCATTTACTTCTAACTTGTAGTGGAGTAAAAGTATGAATGCAGGACTTTTACTTCTAACAGAGTATTCATACACTGTGGTACTTCTACTTTGACTCAAGTACAAGATCTGAGTACTTATTCCACCTCTGATTGGTTGAAATAATCCTCTTTACAATTCCCTGCTACGTCAGTTATTCTCATGTTTTATTTTGAAAAACTTCTCCCGGAAGTAGTATGGAACCTTTTCACTCATGCATTAGCTGACAGAAGTGCCTCCCTGCTCCCGAGGAGAAGAGCAACAAAGTCCCACCATGGCTGTTTTGTGGAATAAATTGTGACAACTACCGACAAGATGATGAACGACATCATAGAGGAACCGGAGAAGGACACCCTGCTGGAGCCGCAAGTCTTCCCGGTAATGTCTGCTAAAGATAGCTAACGCTAACTTGTACATAGAAACTGGGAGGCTAGTTGAAGACGGTTTTTATGAATGGGCGTAGTGGCCAAATGGCAGTACTACAACTTCAAGGATGTCACTGGTATAAAAACAGCTATATTACAGCAGCAAACTGAAGTATAATAATTAATAAAGCACGATGAATAATTAAATCCTGGCAAGTTATGTGGAACAACGACACAAAAGCTAAAGTTTATAATAAAACTCAGACTGCGCATGCGCCTTGGGCTTATATCCGGGTACTTTCTGAACCTACACTCGCTCTATTTTTGGCTTCAAGCGCCACTGAGCAACTCTCATAGGAATGAACGCCTCTGTCTCTTTATACATCCATAGGCTAGCTGCTAGCTGATTAGCTTAGCCTGGGATTTTGACAGTTGTTTATATTAGTCGTGTTTACAAAATGAAGTGTTTCTCTTTTTCGTAAAACAATGCTAAGATTGAGTTTGATTGACATTAAGTGACATTATATAGTTGGCCCATAAACACCTACAGTGTTATCGTTTCTTATTCCATAAACAGAACTGCTGGGGACATCTGGAGGAGTTTTCACTTTATTTAGAGACAGTTATGGAGTAACTTATGTAGAAGTGGAAGAACTAATTGGATTTCTAACTTAAGTAAAAGTAGCTTAATAGAAAACATGCTATGTTATAAGTAAAAGTCCTGAATTAAAAAAGTATTGCCTCCAAATTAAGTACTAAAAGTACTTGTATACTGTAGGCGCATTCACACCGCAGTACTTTCCCCACAAAGGTTCATGAGAACTTAGTTCTCTTTAGTTCTCATGAACTAAGTACAGATCGCGTTCACACCGGAATAAGTTCCTGGGGAAGGATTAGGCAAATGAAGCCGCTGACGTCACTTCTTCTACTTCTGATTTGGGTTTACTGGCAGGCCGCAAACAACTTCACGGCGTATATTGCCACCCGGAGTCCCCGGACGGAAGTCCCCGGAGTTGGGGACTGGCTTCAGATTCATTTTGTAAAAAGCACTTTGAGCTGCACGTGTTGTATGAAAAGTGCTATATAAATAATGCTTTATTATTATGATTATTTAGCTGCCAAACATATATTAATGTACAGATTGTTCTCAATTCCTCCGTCCTCAGGGACCCAGTAATGGCACCAGACCTAAAACAGCTGACGGAGGCATCCGGCCAGTGGAGAAAAGAGGACCTTACATCATGTCGAGAGCTCCAGCAATACACCTCAAACTACGTGAGCAGCATTTCTTCACCCGTCATTACAAACTCTATTAACTATTATATAACGCCTGTGTGTTGGTCAGATTATAATGGTTGTTATTGTGGGGGAAACTTCTGAAGCAATTGGAAACAGGACTCGGAGAGACACGAGGAGAGCTTTCTTTAGTTGAAAGCCCAGTGGCGATCTGTTCATCTGTCATACTGATCATACAGTCAATAACTTTGTTGTTATTAGCATCTGGTTAGCTAGCTATGCTAACGAATATAAGAAGCTTTTTCTACAACCAGTGAGGTAAAGGCACATCTTTATATGATCATTAAAGTTATAAAAAAATAAGAGAATGAAGTAAACAGGTATAAAATACTATATGACAGTAAAATAAAGTTGTTATTAATAAACAAGAATACAGTTTGAAAGGAGAGTGATTTGTAAATATCCATAAAGAGAAATAAAATCTGTTTACAGTTCTGTTTCATATGGCTGTTGAGATATGTATCCATAGATCTCCTAATGTTGCTCTCAAAGTGCACCAGATTAATGCTTTTAACTTCAACATTTAAAAACAAATCTTCCCGGGGGAGCATGCACCCCGGACCCCCCTAGAGCAGGTTAGGTCCACCCCCCACTTAAATCATGTTTACATGGATAGGAAACTAAATACATTTGCACACATCTTGTGTCCATATCTTTCTGTTTTGGTGGTCATGCCACACCGTGCACGTGAATGCATGCGCGAGTCATGGTAAGATATCTGGATTAAGAGGTTGCTTTTTCTTTGCACAGCATGAAAGAAAGGCCAAATGAATGGGCTGTGATTTTTGTATTTTTAAGCAGAGGTCAATAATTTGTACGGCCCTCGGAGGATGTTGAAAAAATTGAAATGGCCCTTGAGAGGAAAAAGGTTCCCCACCCCTGCCTTAAGGACTACAAATATGGCCTCTTTCAGGTTAAAAGTGCCACTTATGATCCTGAAAATGTCAGAATTGGATTCAACATCCTCAATAACCCCCCAAAGCACTCCTAAATTGTTTTCTATGTGCTGGAAACCCGTACTTTACATTTCTATCTTAAAAAATGGGGTACTCAACATTTCTGGGTTCACAACAGGACTCTAAACTAGACTAAAAACACACGTCTGTTTATTTTCCACAGAGAAACACAGGGAGATGGCGAGGAAAGCCCTGAAGAAGAAAGCTCTTTCTCCAGGACCCCCTGTGGTGCATCAGCCCCGACAAGGAGCCAAGAGGTGAGGAGACGTTTGAAGATTACATTACATTTCATTTAGCTGACACTTTTATCCAAAGCAACTGACAATAAGTGCATTCAACCGTGAAGAGACCAACTCAAAAAGCAAGAGTCCTGCAGATACACTTCCTGTCTATAACCCTAACCAGATTAAAAGCTACTGCATTATAGTGATGTGTCGGTCGCGAACGAGCCGATTCTTTTGAACGGCTCTTTGGTACGAACGAGGGGAACCGAGTCCTACTTGGTGAGAGCCGTTCTTGTTATCGTTCAATCGTTGGTCCGCACTCACTGCCTGCCAAAATCCACTCGCCTTTTAAAAAGCTTGATTTTGTTCCCCAAACGTATTCTGTGAAGATCCGCCCCTACTCTGTTTGGTAGGTTTCAGCACGAGGAGTGAGATGGGGTGGGTCTTAACGGAATACGCGAGAGAGAGAAGTCATAACAAGTGGTACAGGACAGGTAGACAACGTGTTTTTCGGATGGAAAATGAGCCAAACGCGAAAACGCAGCAGCATTTGGATTCACTTCAACCAAAACCCAGGCAGTGATAAAGCGCACCATTTGTAAAGGCAAAATATCCTTTAAAGCAGGATCAACAAATAATCTCCATCGCCACTTAAAAACACAGTATCTAATATTAAGAGTTGCATGAATTTCATTCAAGGCAAGGCAACTTTATTTACTTAACACATACAGAGGGTAAATTCAAAGTACATTCACTGACATGATGACATGGATATGGCGCCACCTTGTGTGATGTTTACAATGCCGATTATTGACATTAGGTCTGGCAATACAGTCAATCATTATCCTGGTGATTATTTTGCAAATAAACCTAGTAACCTTAAAAAAAACGGCTCTTTTGAACGGCTCTTTTGAACGGCTCTTTGAAAGGAACGGAGCCATAAGATCCGGCTCCCTTCAAAGAGCCATAATTCCCATCACTACTGCATTAGCATCACTTCAATCCAAATGCTTTTCTAAGTGGTACGTACAGAAGTTAAAGGGGACCTATTATGCAAAATGCACTTTTTTATGTCTTTTTTACATAAATATGTGTCCCCGGTGTGTCAGGGAACTCACCAAGTGTCAAAAAACAAAACGCTGTAGTACATATGCCGGGCCTGTAAGTGGCGCTGTAGTCTGCGACAAAAGCAGCGAAGTAGACTTCCCGCGCATGGTTGCCCTTCTGTTTATTCTCCGCTGTGGACGCTCTGGCTCTTTTTCTCCCTCCCCGAGGCAAGCGTTTGCTCCGGCTGTAATTCTCTCCGGTAGTCCACCAGCAGATGACAAACACCCACCTCTCCGCCTCTTCCAAGGGACGAGAGGACCGTGCAGCAGAGTTTCAGTTAGATTTTTCGCCGGTCAACATGTCCGTTAAAGTTTAAATCTTCCGGACAAAATTAGAAAAGTGCCGGTCAGAGGTCTTCTTTGTTATTTATTGAGCTTTAAAACAAATTGATAACGACTCTATATAATAATATAAGAATACGAAACGGAGCGTCTCTTTTCCTCCCCCTCTTCTGACAGCCCAGCAGCTGATATCTGAGCAGGAGAGGCGGGGAGAGGCGGGGCTATTTCTTCGTTATCAGGACATGATCGTATAGGCGTAAACACGGAGCCGTTTGCCCCCCAGAGCGTTGCCTCCCCAGATCTACCCACCTAGGGACCCGTTATCGTTATCGTTATCGTTTTCTGCGTTTCCGTGTCGGCCTCGTGTGGCCGAACCGTCTATCTGATAGAGAACTGTAGCGGATACGACCGTTATCGTCCTCTCGTATTCACAGCAAGCATGGTAACATGACGCTCGTGCCGGGGCCGTGCCACGCCCCCCTCTTCTGCAGGGGGGCGTGGTCAGCTGCAGCTCATTTGCCACAGAATCAGCCCTTGCAAAAACAGGGCTGAAAAAGAGCAAATAGAGCGAAATGAGGCATGGCTAAAATGCATGATCTGTTTGGTATTTTGAAAAAAAACTTCACAGACATGTTTTATATAGGTATGGCCCGACAATATATGTATCAAATATAGCATGATAGGTCCACTTTAAAGCAGAATCAGTCTGTTTGGAACAGGGCTGTAATAGAGGGGTATGAGCAGTATGAGGCATGGCTACAATGATAATCAAGTTTTACACATCGCAGAAATCAGCACAACCTCAGGTAATGTTATATGTTACTCATTAAAGACTTCTATACACTATAATGGGGGATATTTGCCCATAAAACAAAAAAACGACTAAAAACGGAGCTTGAATTTGTAACTTAAACAGAACTTCGAACCATAATATTGAAAAAAAACATCCAACACAGAAAATTGCACACAGTTGTTGGGATTGTGCCAGAAGTGATTAGAAGCTTCTAACTTCTTCTGTTCATGAGTTATGCTTTGAAGATGACGTGATATTTGGGACCGTGGGTCTCAGAGGGTTAACGATGTTTGTTTTGCACGATTTTTAAAACATTTTCTGGTTTCTTCTTCCAGGACGGTGAAGTATAACAAGGGCTACGCTGCTCTGAGTCAACATGCTGGGGACAGTTTAGTGGCTCTGGACTCAGACAGGTGAGGTTCACAGGGTTCAATTCCTACTGAAGGCAGTCACCTGAACCCAGAGAGGGCAAAGTACACATCCTTTACTCAAGTAGAAGTACAGATACTCGTGTTTAAAAATACTCTGGTAAAAGTAGAAGTCCTGACTAAACTTCTTTACTCAAGTAAAAGTAAAGAGGGCTTTGAAATGTACTTCAGTAAAAAGTACCCATAACTAGCAGCTGTTTTAAAGAGTACCTGACCTCCCTTTATATTAATAGAACAATAATGTCATTGTTAGCTAATGAATGTTTCCATGCTGAACAACGGCAACATGACAACGTTTTCATTGGTCCCTCTTCTTTAGAGAAGACCAGGAAATGATGGATACACGGATCGTGTTCAAATCAATAGGCACGCAATGACTCTAAATAATAATGATCACGCCACCAAACACACATTCAAACTAAAGGAACCAGCCTGTTTGGGAAATGTGAGAAGTAGAAAGTACAGGTATTTGTGTTCAACATGTAAGAAGTAGAAAGTACAGGTATTTGTGTTCAAAATGTAAGAAGTAGAAAGTACAGGTATTTGTGTTCAAAATGTAAGAAGTAGAAAGTACAGGTATTTGTGTTCAAAATGTAAGAAGTAGAAAGTTCAGGTATTGGGTTCAACATGTAAGAAGTAGAAAGTACAGGTATTTGTGTTCAACATGTAAGAAGTAGAAAGTTCAGGTATTTGTGTTCAAAATGTAAGAAGTAGAAAGTACAGGTATTTGTGTTCAAAATGTAAGAAGTAGAAAGTACAGGTATTTGTGTTCAAAATGTAAGAAGTCAAAGTAAAAAGTCGTCAGAAAGATAAGTAGTGAAGTAAAGTACTGATACCAGAAAAAAGCACCGAAGTATTTGTACTCCACTTCTTCCCACCTCTGCCTGAACCCTGAATAACGTACTGATCTACTTAGCGTTTTACATTCTGTCCATAGAACATGTCACCTTGGAATTTACTAGAATGTGTCCAGCTCTAGTGTCCCTTAGTAGAGATACAGTTGAGAGTTTTCATGCACAGAATATTCAATTTTTGCCCTTATATATAAAAAAAGACTGTCTAATAGCTCATGAGTAATGGAAGTAAATATTATTCTAAAACTCCTGTTGACATGCAGACATGCAAATAGACTTTTGTTTTTAAAGTTTTCAGACAGGTTCAACCAGCTTTGGTGTTGCAATATCTGCACATATCCAAAACTCTATAAAGTCTAAGTGTTTAAAGTAGGTGAGTTTCATTGGACCGTCTTTTGGTCTTCCATCTCTAGTTCAATCAGGAGAGACGTTGATGTATGAAATACATATTTATTACGGGACACGTAATATGAATGTAATAATGATTGCCAGAATTATAACAGGAGAATGGAATGGTGTTTGGCGATTAGGCCCCAGTTTGCAGGGTAATCATTCAGGAGGGGAAGAACCGCTCCGATGAAACCCCCCGGGGTCTAGACACTGGTGGTGGTGATAAGTAGGTGAGAACGGACTGAAGGGAGAAGGTTTAGGCCACATTTACACGAGAACGAAACGGCTTGTATCTGCATAGTTTCTCTTACGTATAGCCCTATTATTTACACGAGGCCGTAACGAACGGACCCCACAAACGATAACGGGTCCCAAGGTGGATAGATTTGCAAACGAAACTCTCTGGGGGGTCAAACGAGTCCGTGTAATCACCTCTATACGAATATTTCCTGAAAAAATAACGATAGCCCCACCTCTCCCTGCCTCTGCTGCTCACTGCTGTAGCATGGCCAGTAGCTACTGCTAGTGCTACTGCTAATGACCATGCTACAGATGTTAGTGCAACATCTACAGCTCCTCTACCACAACCATCAGCAACAAGTGGACATGGAGAATTACATGAACCACTACATGTTGCTAAATCCACCGCGGGGCATAAACAGAAGGGTAGCCATGGCAACATTGCTCCGGGGTCTTCTTCGCTGCTTTTGGTGTATTTTGTGGCGGAAGTTACAGCGCCACTTACAGTCCCGGCATATGTACTACAGCGTGTCCAGCGGTCTCGTTTGAACAGACACGTTAAATGAAACGAATGCATGTGAACGGAAGACTTTTTTGAAAACGCATACTGTGCATAAACGCAAACGTTCCCGTGTAAAAGCAGCCTTAGCTTGGTCCTGAAGGAGACGGGAGGCGAAATGGGTGGAGGAGGGTTGCGTATTGTCACCTGAACTGACAGCTGACAGAGGGAAGAGCAGATATAAAGGGATTAGCGGGAGCTATGATAGGCTTGTGAGAATGGAGAGAGGAGAGATTGGTTAGCTGGGGAGTGACACCCGATCACTTAATGAGGGAGGAGAGAGGATTGAAATGACATGTAATATGAATGAAGAGCTTGGTCTTCCTGATTGAACTTGCGCTGAGCTTTCATTTGGTTTTGTTGTACCATGCAAAGAGCTGGCTGTAAACAGGCGACTCCAAATTGCATTTTGCACTCAAAGGATACTCCTTAAATGTTTTTCTAAACAAACATAAAGACTTTCTTGGTCTTTTTGGGCTGATAGAGGAACCCTAAGGGATTAGAAATCACCTTAACTCACATTTTATTCCACATGTTTGAGAGATGTAGTGTTTGTTTAGTTCTTTATTGGAGAAAAGAGGGATTTAAATCCACTTTAATCAGACAACACTTTGATACATTAAGAGAGTCTTTCCATACATTCCTAATTCTTTTGACGCCCTTCCGTATTTGATTTTGTATTTAATATATATATAATCCTTGAGTTATTAAGACTGTAAGGTGCTTTTTTTTGTTTACATTTGAGGCAGTGTGACTTCCTTTTGGGAGAGTTTTGATGTAGGAACACTGTTTGATTGAGTTCTCTGTGTTTTTGAGATTAAAACATAATAAACCAAAACAAAAAGCTCCTAAAAACCTGCATTTTATCAGAAAATCCTCCATTTAAAAAACAATGTCATATTGTGTCCTTGGGCAAGACACTTCACCTGAACTTGCTCCTGTGGGTATTGTCCACAGTAGACCATTACATGTATGATCTGTATGTGTAATGTGTATTTCTAAAGCGCTTTGAGTCATTGATAAAGCGCTATAATAAATATAAGGATTATTATTATTATTATTATTATTATTATTATTATATTGGAATAATTTGAAGTACATCAGTGTGTTTGAAGACGGATTTAAAGAACTTCCTGCTTGTCTTCACAGTGACGAGGAGATAGATTTTGAGCAGTACTCTTCGGGATACTCTTCAGCCGAGGTGAGTTCTCCTTCAGATGCTTTCACATATTTCCCTCACGATGCAGTCGAACTGGCCAAGTGACTATGAGTGTGTTTCCTGTTCATGCAAATATGTTCAAAGATGGGCTTCATTTCTCTATTTGCATCTTTGTGACTTCTGTGCAATCCATCCCTTTGTCAGCACACGGTTTCTGCACGGTGTAAAACTGGTTCATTATTTTAAGATTGTTTTTGTCTGACAGTCGCAACACCACATTATACTTATATAAAAAAGTATTTAGATCCTTTACTGAAGTAAAAGTATAACTAATTATATTTAAAAAGTACATTAGATGTCACTTGTTAGACTTTTATATATTTAAAGTGTGTTGTTTTTATGAATTTTTACTGTTATCCAAAGTGACTTACATACACTCAATACTGTGGAGTACAATCCCCACAGGAGCAATTTAGGGGAAAGTGTTATCAATGTTGAGTCAATTAAAAAAACACTGTGTCGATTAGAAGTGCAGTACTGCATCATAACATATCACCACTGTGCATGAAACCAGTCACACACACACACACACACACACACACACACACACACACACACACACACACACACACACACACACACACACACACACACACACACACACACACACACACACACACACACACACACACACACACACACACACACACACACCCACACACACCCACACACACCCTGCTCAGATATGTAGTCGGGTGGTTTTCCCGGCCGTTTAGCAGAAATCAGTCTTTCTTGTTTCCTCACATTACTGTAGAAGTAACTAGAATGTGTACTTAACCCTTGTGCCCTCCTCGGGCATTTTTGTACATTTTTCCTGACTTTTTTTCTTTGATTTGGGGTTCATATCAGCTGTGTTACAGCTTTTGGCATGGATTTTTGCAAGAAGTCTTCTTTTGAGTCAAATTTTTGAAATCCAATGTCGTTTACTCTTACATGTTTTGTATACTCTCGTGATGCATTTTGCACCCTCTGGACCCCTTCGTGGCAAAAATGTACACGCTCATAGAAACTGCTATTAAATCATCATACATCAATATTTTATTAAACTTTTTTTTCCATGAATCACTTGAACAACTTCTAACGTGCTCAAAACTACCAAACATCCAATAATTTTCAGGATTTTAACCCTTTAAATGCCTGTTTCATTATTTGAATTATTTAATTTCTCTTTAAAAAAAAAAGACAAAAAATGAATTTCTTTCAATATAATAATAATTAGAGGGATGAAACTTTGGTGGTTATTAGAGTCTGGGATGTGTCAAAGATTAGCAACAAAATTGATTTCACTGCATTATTAATTTTTACGTAGTGTCAGATACTACCTCTGGACACCTTCGTGGCAAAAATGTACACGCCCAAAACAACTTCTATTAAATCATCATACATCAATATCTTTTTCTACTTTTTTTTCATGAATCACATAAACAACTTCTCACGTACTCCAAACTACCAAACATTCAATCATTGTCAGGATTTTAACCCTTTAAATGCCTGTTTCATTATTTTAATTATTTCATTTCTCTCAAAAATGCCTCATTGACTTCCATTCAGACCACATTTGTTGATCTCACTGCCATTGCAGTATAAAACCATGCATTTTGTAATGTCAGCATTTCATTTAGAAGAAAAGTAGTGATATTTGATATTTCTACTCTATTCCAACAGATTACACCATTTTCCCACTGTAGGCCGATGCATGACATTCTTACATCTTTGCCAGTTATATTATGGAGCCGTGTGACTACCAGGGGGCCCCGAGAGTGGTGTGTGTGTGTATGTATATGTGTGTGCGTGTGTGTGTGTATATGCGCGTGTGTGTGTGTGTGTGTGTGTGTCATTTCCAGCAGCAGACTAGCAGGTCCTGCAGCATGTGACCTGGTGCTCTCAGGTGATAGAACAACAGTTTTTTAGGCCTGTGCACAAACAGCACACACCTCTCCTCCCTCTCCGTGTGTGTGTGTGAGAATCTGTAAGCATGCACAGATCATTTCATGGGAAAAAAAGGCCATCTTTTGAGGGATGTGTTTGATGTGTCTTTGAAGAGCTGCTTGATTACTCAAAAACAACTGTTAGTGTGTTTATGCACCTGGCTGCCAAAGATAAACATGCAGTTTGACCAAGGGCTTATTTCATTAGTGAGCAGAGAAGGAGAAAGACCTGGAGCAAAGAGAAGGAACTCAAATGAAGAAGCTTTTCAGTGCAGAAGAGACTTCAGAAATAATCTTGCAGCCTTCTTCTGCCAGCGAGCTGCAGGACTCATCTGAAGAAGACACAAGGTTCGAGGGGGGGTCTGACACTGAATGCTCTCTGGAGTCCAGCATTTCTTTGAGTTCCTCTGACCCTTCATCTGAAAGTGGAGAGGACACTGAGGGTCCGGCCCACCATCCACCACCACGGGGGGCTTTCTTCTCACAATCTGTGAGGACACCCTGGTTTTCCCCAGCTCCTGGGAGAACGACCTCCGTTCTTCTCTGTCCCCTCACTGTGGGTCTCTAGAGAAGACCAGGAAATGATGGATACACGGATCGTGCTCAAATCAATAGGCACGCAATAACTCTAATATTTGTGTCTTGTATTATTTAAAAACATTGTAAATGAACCTCTGTATGTCATGTTTTCAGCTCCATTGGACTCCAGATGTTACTCCCACGGCCGGGTGGAGACGGACGAGGAGTTTGACGCCGGCTGGGTGACGTACTTCAGCAAACCTGACATCGATGCCTGGGAGCTGAGGAAAGGTACCTTTGTGCTTTTTAAATATCTTCTGATGATGTGTCCTCGCTCTGTTGTTAATAGTGTGGTTCATGTTATGGTTATAGTTGGGGTTTCATTGAAAAGTGTGGACAAAAGAATACATTCTGTCAAAAGTTAGACCTATTTTCAGTCAATCTGGAAAAGTGTTCTGGTTGTTATAAGCCCCAATGTTTCTAGGAGTTGGGTTTTATTCCCACTTTTAACAAAACTGTGTGTATTGTTTGGATAAAATGGTGCAATATAATGGTTGCTCTTCTTATTATTGCTTATTCTAAATATAGTACAGGCAAGAGATGCAAATAAAGGACACAGCAGGACATTTAGATGAGAACACCAGGTCAAGCTAAATAAAATATATGAATAATATTAAATAAATAACCCAAAACAAAACTAAAAGGATCCCTAACGCATCACACTCTGAACTACACACAGATATAGTCCAAGTTACTGAGGGTCCCTGAACGCACCACACTCTGAACTACACACACATATAATCAAAGTTACTGAGGGTCCCTGAATGCACCACACTCTGAACTACACACACACACACACACACAGCTGGGTTACAGAGGGTCCCTGAATGCACCACACTCTGAACTACACACAGATATAATCAAAGTGGCTGAGGGTCCCTGAACGCACCACACTCTGAACTACACACACACACACACACAGCTGGGTTACTGAGGGTCCCTGAACGCGCCACACTCTGAACTACACACAGATATACTCAAAGTGACTGAGGGTCCTGAACGCACCACACTCTGAACTACACACAGATATAGTCCAAGTTACTGAGGCTCTCTGAACGCACCACACTCTGAACTACACACACACACAGCTGGGTTACTGAGGGTCCCTGAACGCACCACACTCTGAACTACACACACACACTGCTGGGTTACAGAGGGTCCCTGAACGCACCACACTTTGAACTACATACAGATATATTCAAAGTTACTGAGGCTCCCTGAACGCACCACACTCTGAACTACACACACACACTGCTGGGTTACAGAGGGTCCCTGAACGCACCACACTCTGAACTACACACAGATATATTCAAAGTTACTGAGGGTCCCTGAACGCACCACACTCTGAAAAAGGATCCCTTCAACATTTTTAAATAACTAGGTTGACGGTCCAATGCACTCAAGAACCAAAGACACACACATACAATATGCATATTATATTTATTGTCCCATTTCATGTTTTGTAATGGCTTGTGGCAATATTATGAATGTGTCATTATGCTGCTGTCAAATCCTCGTCTCAGTACGATACCAGTCACCTCTGTGGAAACATTGGTATAACTGACTTTTTTAATTTATATTGAAGTGTATGTCTTTTAAAAATGGACCTTGAGTCTCTTCAATAAAGCTGACGAATATCTTCTCCACAAGAAATTGTCTTAAAGTATTTTTCATGAACCTTAAATTCAGACGACTCTTGCTAATGATTGCTAATTCTTTGAAGTAATACATTTGTTTTTGTAATGAATGTAACCCTGAAGGCATGAACACCCTGATCGGGTACGACCTGGTGCCCGAGGCTAAGACCGTGGACTCGGCGCTCAGAGCGTGCCGGAGACTGAACGACATGGCCAGCGCCATCCGTATCCTGGAGGCCGTTAAGGTGAGATCACTTATCGAATTGTGGAAGAAATGAGGCCCTATGTCTCTTCCTAACCACTCTTACTTAATGTCCATGAGAATGTTCAAGATTCAAGGCTTTTATTGTCATGTGTACATAGCTACAGTTTAGATATGTCAATGGAAATCTGAGGCTCCTCCAACAGCGAAACACAGTAAAACAGATCAAATAGTGCAAGGCAAGTTTATTTATATAGCACCATTCAACACAAGGGAATACAAAGTGCTTTACAAACATGAAAGACATTAAGAGCATTAAACACAGTAGAAACATTAAAAAGATATTAAAACATGAATAACACAGGGACATGAATAAAAGGTAAGATGTGAAAAGTTCAATTAAAAGCAGCGGCAAAAAGAAAAGTCTTCAGCCTGGATTCAAAAGTAGTAAAGAGTGCAAGTAAATACAAATACAATAGAATATAATAGAACTAGTGCAAGAATAGTCTATAAGATGCAAACAGATGAATGTTCTGGATGTTCTTTCCAAAGCTCAGGTGTTCAACAGTCTGATGGCCTGTGGGATGAAACTGTTCTGGTATAATAACATAATGATCTGGGATTAAAGGAAGTAGTGAAGGAGAATTCATCAGGACACTGGGAGACGTTATGATGAGACGGAGGGTGTTTTGGATGTGCCTCTGTTGTGGGGAAACTACAAAGCCACTAAAAGCACATCTAGATACTTGAGTCCGTGCATAGCATGTTGTTTCTTGAGGGTTTCATAAATGTGTGAAGCTAATTGGTTGCATGAAAGCCATTTAGTATCATTGTATATAACGGCTTTGAATAAATAATACTCTATGGAATATATATATACATAAACACTTATCTTTCGTAAAGGATGGTCCAGTGTTTCCTTAAGGAGGCAACAAGGGAAGCAAGGTGCCCACTGAGAGGCTTCTAGGTCAATTCACTCTGTTAGGAACATTTCTGAGTGAAAGATGAATAAAATAGTGCGAGAGAATGATTTGAGATGTGCAAGTAAATACAAATAGAATAGAGATAGTGCAAGAAGAGTCTATATACAAGTACATGGAATCTGATATATTAGATACATAATTAGCAAGATGCAAACAGGTGAATGTTTATGGATGTTCTTTAGAAAGTGCAGGTGTTTAATAATCTCATGGTGCAATATAATGGATTGAAGTAGAGAACAATATTATCACCGTAGTATTCCCATGTGTTGTGTATGGAAAGACTTGTTGTTTATTTGATGACTAGATGCTAATTGTTGTTTAAACCAATCCTAAAGGAGGGCTTCAGTCCATATGTATTGCTGATCGCTGTAAGTAGTGTACGCTGTGTTCTCCATAACAACATCCTCTTCATTTGTTATTTCCTCTGTGTCTTTCAGGACAAAGCCGGCCCCCACAAAGAGATCTACCCGTACCTGATCCAGGAGCTGCAGCCCACGCTGTCAGAGCTCGGCATCTCCACTCCAGAACAGCTCGGCATGGACAAGTTATAGACCCTCCAGGTGACGATGCTCTCATTACAACATGTGTTTTTAGCACATCTCTGCACACGTGTCTCAGGGACAGTTTCACCCCAGAAATGACTCTACATCAGGGGTCTCCAAACCTCAGCAGATAAAGAAAGTATAATGGAATACGGCCCACAAATGAAACTTGTGCTCGTCTTATATTGTACTTCTTAAATATATATGTACAAATATATTACACAGTAGTATTCATGTGTTAATGAGACCACTTTTCTAATAAAGCTGGAAGCATTTTCTAACAAATCTTAGTTGATAAGAAAAAGCCCAATGACTTATTTCCATAACAAGCTTGAAACACACCGTTCCTATTCCTCCTTATTTTAATCATTCTGAAGCTTCTGTTTTAAGGGATGGGCTGCCAACACTCACGAGCATCACTTACCTACATCTGATTGGTTTTGCTAACTTATAAATGAACTTATGAGGCAATGAACCTCTACTGAGGGGCCCAGCCCTTCGTATATTTTTCTGTATGTGGCCCTCGGTGAAAAAGGTTTGGCCACCCCTACTCTATTTACTAATTACTCTTCTTTGTAACTCACTTTTTAAATCGGTTTCTATCAATGTGTTGGAGTCAGTTTCCCACGGTTACTGAAATCTGCCCTTTAAATGTCTGCCTTTGACATTTTGAAACACACACAGTGGCGTTTTTATATGTACAAAAGTGGAGGGGCACGAACAACTTAGATGTGTATAGCTTCTGGTGCTTTTTTAAACACGTAAACAAATAGCTGTAGGCTATCCGTGGTTCAGATCGAGAGAGAGAGGGGGGGGGGGGGACAGACACTCTATAATCGCTATACGCTGCTCTCTCTCGTCTCCTCTTCACAACTACACTTTTCGCTGCACACGTACTTACAGCCAATCAGCTATGAATTATGAGATGACGTTTGGTGGGGTTGCCAGCACTATGCCCCACCGGTGATTATTTTTTTTACCGCACACATTGAATAGAAAAAGACTCTGAGCATGCGCAGTGTAGTTTTTACAGAACCCATTCACTTTGACAGTGAGAGTGAGGGGCTAGATCGGGGCTTGACCCACATCGCTCAAAACGGCTCAATAGGCACACTGTAGACACTAAGTAGAAGAACGCAGACTAAAACAGCAATGCACAGACGAATCAGATGATTAAACATGATCTTAACATATATTTTAACATATATTCTTTTTGCATATTTTTGGAATTATTATTATTTTCATGACTTTCTGCTGACACTAGGTGGGGCTGCCCCTGAGGACGAGTCGCCACTGAACACACATGTCTTTCTTCAAAAAGCACGAACCAGTTACTCAAAAAGAAATATCTGAGAATCCACTCATTAAAACATGTATTTAGCACATCTCTGCACACGTCTCTGCACAGCCCTCCAATTTAAAATATAACACAAGGTAGTCTGTCATATATTCAGTGTGTTATAGACCAGGGGTGTCCAAACTTTTTTCTCCGAGGGCCACATACAGAAAGATATTCAAAGGGCTGGGCCGCTCACTAGAAGTTTATTGGCTCATAAGTGAAGTTATAAGTTAGCTAAACCAATCAAATGCCAGTAAATGATGCTGCAGCCTACATGACAGCTTTCCATAGGGTTTCATTCATTTTGTTAGCAGCTCATTCCTTAAAAGAGAAGCCTCAGATTGCTCATCATAAGAGGAAATAGGAAGAGTTGTTATTTCAATAAGTTACTGGGCTCTTATCAACTTAGATTTGTTAGAACATGTTTTTAATTGACTGAAAGTGGGCTCATTAACACATGAACACTACTGTGTAACATGTTTACAGATATATTTAAGAAGTACAATACAAGACAAGCTCAAGTTTCATTTTGTGGGCCGCATTCCATTATACTTTTTGCATTTGGCCCCCGGGCCGTAGTTTGGACATCCCTGTTACAGACCAAACGATTAATAAATAATGAAACATAAGCATTAGTTGCAAAGGAAAGTCAGATTGGTGCATCCAGACAGTCTGAACAGATAGAATGAATGCATGTGCTCTGTTTTATATCACATCAAAGTTAATATCTTTGGGTTTTGGACTGATACGACGACACGTTTAAAGACACCACCATTATGGATTTGATGATCGACATGTCCACACATTTTTTACATAGACTCACATCCTTTCAAATACCTCAGTCAGTTTCATCCCACAGGCAGTAAGACTGTTAAACACCTGAGCTCTGTGAAGAACATCCATAACATTCATCTGTCATCTTGCAATCTACTTATTTATATAAATAGTTATCACTGCAATAAACCGTATTTAATTTGGTCTTAATGTACATTCTTTAATTTCATATTCTGTTCTTGTACATATTCTATTTACATGTATATAGACTTCTTGCTCTATTTTGTATGTTATTGTATATGTTGCATTGTTGGAGGAGCTCAGGTCAGAAGAATTTCATTGCCATGTCTACACTGTAGCTTTGTGCATATGACAATAAAACCTTAGAGTTTGAACGTCTGCACAGCCTTCTCTTGATAACTGGACTCAAACTCACACTGTACATTTCACATTTATATTCAATCTCATATTTAATAATCCAGTCCTGGCTAAATTAAAGTATATATCTAGTCTTTTAAGTTCTCTAATGTTCAATGCCTTGTCTTTTCATGCTGCTGCAACGCAAACATTTCCCACATTGGGATCAATAAAGTTCTTCTTATCTGATCTTATCTTAAAATATACCACACAGTAGTCTGACATATATTCAGTGTTCCAAGTCTTTTAGTTTTTATGTTTTTTAGGTTCTTTTGTATTTAAATGTATATTTTTGACCTCTTTTTGCAACTTATGGTCTGAAGTTGTTTATGTTTGCACCACAATACACCAGAGCTAATCCCTCTGTGTGTACCTGGTGATAAACTTGATTCTGAATTTAGGAAGTTAATGCGTGTTAAAATGTGCAGCAGCTCATGAAGGATATTGACTTCCTCTCATCTGAACATGTCTCCTTCTCCTCTCTCCTCAGGTCCTTGGATGTATAACGAGATGACGATGAGCTCTTCTGATTCCCCACTTTAAATATGTCTATATATTGTTGATCAAATCCATGCTTTCCTGTTGTGTACAAAATGGTGGACCTAATAATAAAGAAACCAATCATTTAAGAACGTGTGTTGTTCTTTTAGTTTTGTATATAAATGCATCATGTTTTCCAAGTTGATCAAATAAACTCATGAATACAAGATTAAAACATAGTTTCTCTATCTTGGTCAAAGTGTTGATGAACCAGTTTGTACCTTTTGGTTTGATGAGCTTCAGGTCACCAGGACTTGCTTTGTTTTTATTTCTGTACTTGGGTACATTTCTACGCTGAAGGATTTTAATTCTGCTCTCTGCAATGAGCAAAAAACGCATTGGTGGCTAAATATATTTGACTAAATATACACTGTAATTAAAAAAGTATTTCCTTATCCATAATTACTCGTGACATATTGCATAGTTATGATATACCCCTGTTCTTTGGAAACAATATACATAAGAAACAAGACTTTAAATCCATATTTATTATATAAGAACTGCAGTGAGTGCATATTTGAGTTGTGTTGTATTTGTTAACACGACTAAAGTACACATTTTAATTATTGTTGTAGATTCACATATACACAAACCAAGTATAAAGTCCAGTCGTTGTTCTAATCAGTATTTACATATAAGTGCTTTGTTATTGTTTAACCTTTTATACATTGCAATAAAACAACACAATGATTTGCTTCTGAACATGAAATAGAAACCTTGCAGACAGGTGTTTGCCCCTCTTTGCTCTTCTCTTCACCACCAGATGGCGACAGGAGCCTGGATATCTGTTTCTTTCTCATAAGCAGTAAGTTGTACCAAAGCCCTAGAACTGAAAGAGTTGCGACAGCGGAAGTCCAAAATGCTTGATTGTCTCGTGGTGGTCTCTTTATAGGGCTTTGCTTCAGTCATACTCATACAGGGGCTGTTTCTCAAAGTTGAGGACGCTTCCTTGGTAGGACATGTCCTTCCGAGTCAGGTCCTTCAGAGGCGAGGCAAGAATCCTTCCTAGCATTCGGAGAACGAAGAATGGAACAGGCTAGCAAGTGTGCAGGTGTGCGTCATATGAGAGGCCCCGCCTTAAATTGAGCGCGATTTGTTTGAAGACTCATAACTGATTTGCGAAGATCGAAGATGTACTTGAGTAACTGTATTTTGTAAAAGGATCATCTCTCCAGGAGAGAACCACTAAACTAACATAACACGTCTCCTTCTGTTTGCAGCCTTGAAAAAGTCCTGGAGGATAAGCAGCCATAAGAAAATCATAAAATCACCATCACCAATCAATAATACAATGTGTATTCATATATCATACTTGATGTCTGCAAACCTCTTTTACACATATTGGTGCACATTGTAGCATAAACCACAAATATCAAGAAAAGAGGCAAAGTCAAAACAAGGTTCCTTTAAATTATTTATTTGGAGGCTCTGAAGGATCCTTCCTTGACATTGAGAAGCAGCCACAGTATAGGAAAAGCAATTACAAAAACTTTAAAAATAGAAAAGCATTTCCTTGTGTGTGTGGTTTAGGCATGGATGTACAATAAGAACTGGAAACAGCGTCGGAGGCGGGGTCTCGTTCTTTCCTATGAGAGCTGCTCATTGGCGCATGAAGGCAAAATGGCCCAACTTTTGAGAGAGCGAAACGTCACAGATTACCCGTCATGCCTGGCTGCCAGAGCAGAAGTACCCGTATGTGCGCTCACAGAGCATGCGCCCCTTAAGCCCCGCCCCCCGAGCTCCCACTCTCGGCTCACTAGAATTAATTGAGAGAGAAAATAAATCTAGATTTGGCTTTTAGTGCATTTTATAACTTTAACAACCGAATGATTCTAATAAAAAAGTATCCACCGATTTACAGACGTCTCTTTCCCCATGTTAGTCAATGGGAAAAATAATTTTTGGGCCGGGTGACGTCACGGACTGATACGGAAGTTGCAGTACCGCCGTTTGGACACAAGGAATATTGGGCACAGAGTCCGGCGCACTTCCTGGGGGCTTGGGTTTAGGGAGGGCGGCACCCTATCGCCCCCTATGGGCCAGCCGCCACTGGGTAGAAGTACAAAGTAGCAAAGATATTGAGATACTCAAGTAAAGTATAAGTACTTCAGAATTGTACTTAAGTACAGTATTTGAGTAAATGTGCTTAGTTACTGAACACCACTGGGTTTAATTCACTACCTAAGTATATTGTATTTACATTCACCAGCACAAACAGGTACAGGTTTTTACAGTTTGATAATACAAAACAAATAAAACTCCAAATCGCATGCCTTGGTACCAAATGCCCCAAAATCCCAAATCGTACCCAGAAGTCAGTACCAATTGGTAAAATAAGAACAAGCCCTTATTTTTGTCATGACCCGGCTCCTATGCCTGACAAAAATGTGAAAGGATCCAATGGATGCTGGTAAATTAAAGTATTGTATGTAATAAAGTAAACATGTACTTGAAAAAAAACTCAAGCTAACACCAAAGGAAGGCCGATACGGGTAGATGCTCTCAGGAGGGAGTCCAGGAGAAAAGAGAGAAGGAAAGTGGCCTTCGCTCAGAATCTGTGTTACCTTCAAGGACAAGTGGAAACATGTACAGGTAACAAAACAGAGGACTAGGACTTCAACTGTCACACACACTCCACAAGGTTTTTCCTCAGCTCAAGTTGAGCTCTTCGTAAAGATACGGGTCCAGCTCACGGAGAGCATTGATCAGAACCCTGCTGGCTGCAGCTCCTTTTCTTCGCACCGCGTCCACCACCTCTCGTGCTCCGCCATTTTGGAGTTTGGTTCTGGCCGACGTCATTTCAGATTCGGTGATCACTCCAGACTCAAAGAGTTTATCCAGAAGGTCGTTCAGGACAGTTGGAGTCACTCTTCGAATGAACTCTGTCCGAACTGAGAGCAGCCTCTGGTCTGCTGGGACGCTGCTCTCTGCTGGGACTCTGCTCACTGCTGGGACTCTGCTCGCTGCTGGGACTCTGCTCGCTGCTGGGACTCTGCTCTCTGCTGGGTCTCTGCTCTCTGCTGGGACTCTGCTCTCTGCTGGGACTCTGCTCTCTGCTTGGACTATGATCTCTGCTGAGACGCTGCTCTCTGCTGGGACTCTGCTCTCTGCTGAGACGCTGCTCTCTGCTGGGACTCTGCTCTCTGCTGGGACATTTCTCTGGGACAATTCATGCCTTGGATCTGGAAGATAAACAGGGAAAATATTTTTGTTAACCAACAATCACATTAAACAGATCTCTTAAAAATGTAAGTATCTCGACATTCCCAGAGGTGGATTTCTGTTCACTTAAAGTTATAATATGTAACATTTCCTGATTAAAATGGATAAAAACTCCTACAACTGTATTATTTATATTTTGTTGAGTTGTGTAAGCATAAGAAGCTGAAGACTACAACTCCCATAATGCCACGCTGTTTCACCACTGCACAACACTAGTTTTTATTATGGTTTTAGAATATAACAGGTTGTGAGTTTAATGTAGTAATGATGCGCCGCCATGGAGCCTTAATAGAGAATGCTATGAGATGGAGCTTTAGAGTTATCCAGTCTATCACTGGGTCTGAGCTCAGGTGGAGTCTTTACCTTCCAGTGACACGCGACAATCCCAGACTACGTTTCCACCTTGGTCCTTGACCTTCAAATCCACTGTCTCTGTGCTCGTCGTCAGGGTAACTAGAAATGTCGGGTGGTAGTTTGGTCCAAACCTGGAATCAAATCTTTTACTCTGGAAACCAGAAGCAGAAGTTAAATGTTTATCTGGATCTTTCCTGATTGTGAATCCACATGCAGATAAATGTGTGTTAATGATCATTGTGTTTCTTTAGAGGAGTATCAGTGACTCACCTGAGGCTGAATGAAGAAGCCCTCAGGTTCACAGTGCACACTGTAACTGTGATCAATGTCCAGCTCACAGTCGGAGGAGATTGGGATGTTCACAGGCAGAGCACGTCTGTGTTTAACAACCTTCAGAAACAGGACATTTTGATCAATTTAAAACAACATGTTGACAGACCTGCTCTACAGAGATATAAGAATTACAATCAATTAAGAATAACATCATGAGGACATATGTGAGTAGATTAATTAAAGTGTATAGGTTAGATATTTTTGGTTGAAATTCCAACTGGTGCCCAACCAGTCGATTCCCAGTCGAGGGGAGATTACATTACATTGCATTTAGCTGACGCTTTTATCCAAAGCGACTTACAATAAGTGCATTCGACCAGGAAGATACAAACTTGAAGAAAACAGAATCATATAAGTACATCAGGTTTCATAGAGCCAAAACATTTCAAGTGCTAATCAACTGGCTTTAGATAAGCCAGTCATTTATTAGTATATAAGTGCTTTGTTAGTAATTCTATGTTAGTAATTCTATCGCTCGAAGTGGAGTCGAAAGAGATGAGTTTTCAGTCTGCGCCGGAAGATGTGTGAGCTTTCTGCTGTCCTGATTTCAATGGGGAGCTCATTCCACCATTTTGGAGCCAGGATAGCAAACCGACGTGTTTTTGCAGATGGGAACTTGGGTCCCCCTCACAGTGCTGGTGTAGCGAGCCGTTTGGCCCATGCAGAGCGGAGTGCACGTGCTGGTTCCCAGTCGATCGCGAGATGTGTCTAAAAATAGAACAACAATATTCTGTTTTATCGTTAATGTCCTATAACATAATCTTCCTGTGCCAGAATAATGCTCTTGAACGCATCAAAGCTTTGTGATTGGCGCGACCCCATGTGTCGGGGCGTGGCTGGTGGGCAGTGGGCACTAGTTAGCTGACGTTGTCCGTGGCAACAGGAGTGACAGTCCGCACACACACAAGACCGCAATTATGGCAGAAGCAAAAAAGCCCAAAATATATAATTTTCACTCCGAGTGGGAGGATGATTATTTTTTTGTTTATTCCAATTCAAAGTCCATCTGTCTCATCTGCAATGCGAGCGTGACTTTACCGAAGAAGGGTCATTTAGAGCGGCATTTCAAAACGGTGCACAAACGCTACGAGACGGAATTCCCTCCTAATTCTGCCCTACGCTCTTCTGTTCGTTGCGTGCATATGTAACAGAATTAAACATGTGAAAACATAATTATAAGTTT